AGTGGCAATAATAAACAAGTTTATCCTGACCAAAACTGCAATGTTTTTCTAAAGAATGTGAGAGTCACAGGGTTAAGGAATTCAGGACACAAATGCAGTAAAAAAAGAAAAGGGAAACAGGTTTATAACAAAAAGTGAGCATTTTTAAAGCTGATAAACATGAAACTAATGGAAGCAAGTAAGGTGAAACATAACTTTGGAACACAAGTGTGTAATTGTTGCCAAAATGTATGTTTAATTCAACAAAATACATAGGCTCAAGAAGTGAGCCTTGTGGTACACCACACTTTTTGTTGTTAAAGAGAAATGTACACTATTTGTAAGGGAAAAAACACAATAATCAGTCTGGAAATGTCTTTAGAATAGTACAAATAAAAAACCAAAACATTAAAGTGTTTTCAAAATGCTACATTTCAGGGAAAAAAACCCACTTAGAAAGTTGATAGATGGTCCCAACAATAGGCCAATCAGCTCTTTATAAGAGTCCTGTTTAAATTGGCTGCTACTGTACCATAAAACTAAGCCGCTTTGTTTATAATTTATGGAACACGGGTATAGCAGAACCAGGAGGGCCCACAAGGAAAATCAAGAAACAGAGACAGGAAAATGATGACAGATGGAATCTAGCCGGGGGAAACATTGACAAACCAACAGAAAACACAACGGTACGCATATATGCACACAGGACTAAGCATAGAGACAAGACTCAGCTCCATAACAACCCTATTGCAAGTCTACAACTGTACTGTATTAGCAGGTAGGGTTAGGGTTTCCTATACAGAGGATGTAATTGTTGCGACAATGTATGTTTAATTCAACAAAATACACAGGCTCAAGAACTGAGCCTTGTGGTACACCACATTTTTTGACAATGATGTTAAAGAGAAATGTAAATTGTTTTGAAAGTGAAACTGTCACGATCTGTCTTTGTGGTGTTTTGTCTTGTCTGGATCTGTCTTTGGTTTCTGTCTGCGTTGTGTTTTGTCTTGTTTGGATCTGTCTGTGGTTCCCTGTCGTTAGTTTCCCTGGTGTGTCTGATTACCCGATTGTGTTCACCTGTGGCCCCTGTGTTTTCTCCTCCCTCCTCACCTGTGTCTTGTTTGTGTGATTAGTCTTGTGTGTATTTAAGTTCTGGTTTTTCTGTCTGTCTTTGTCGGTTCGTCTTTTGTTGTTGACTGTGTTCACCGGTGAGTGTTCTGTCTGTCCAAGTTCTATTTTCATTATCCTTGAAATAAAGGTATTATCAGTTTAATCTGCATTTGGGTCCTGCTTCCTTCGCTCTACCGTGACAGAACGAACCGACCACAAAATGGACCCAGCAGATGATCCATGGGAGGTTGAATTACAGCATTTAACTTTCTATCTGGCTTGCTGCTTCGATTGGTGGAAGGGAGCGTCCAGTGTTCGGCAGAAGAGGGCCGCTCTGGTAGAGGCGCTCCGGTTGGCAGCAGAGAAACCATGTTTTGTTGAGTTTTTACCTGACTGGATTTTGGACTTCCTTCAAGCATGTGATTCCAGGCATGCTAGCTCCCTGTCTCCCAATTCCCAACCTGGCACCATACGCCTTGGTGGGTTCCGCCTGAAGTCTACCCGTGCTTCTACCCCAGTTCCTGCTTCTGTCCAGGAGTCGTATTCCGGAACTCGTCAGGCTTATGGAGGTCCACGGAGCATTCAGGGGGCTGCTAAGAGGAGTCGTCGCAAGGCCAGGCTAGCAGCCCGAGCCCCAGCAGCCATGGTTCCGGCTCCAGTACAGGCCCCAACAGCCATGGTTCCGGCTCCAGTACAGGCCCCAGTTCCAGCCATGGTTCCGGCTCAAGTACCGGCACCAGCAGTCATGGTCCCGACTCCAGCACCTCGTCTCCTGCTGGCTCCCCAGCCGATGCCAGCTCCCCGAGTCTTGTCGGCGTACCGGCCGACTCCAGCACCTCGTCTCCTGTTGGCTCTTCAGCCAACACCAGCTCCCCCGAGTCTTGTCGGCGTACCGGCCGACTCCAGCACCTCGTCTCCTGCTGGTTCCCCAGCCGACGCCAGCTCCCCGAGTCTTGTCGGCGTACCGGCCGACTCCAGCACCTCGTCTCCTGCTAGCTCCCCAGACGACGCCAGCTCCCCGTGTCCTGTCGGCGTACCGACCGACACAAGTCCCCTCTCAAGTCCCCTCTCAAGTTACTACCCGAGTCCCCTCTCAAGTTCCTACCCGAGTCCCCTCTCCAGTCTCCTCTCAGGTCCCCTCTCGAGTTCCCTCTCGAGTTCCCTCCTTTAGTCCCTCCTCTAGTCCCTCCTCTAGTTCCCCTCGCGAGTCCCCTCTCGAGTTCCCTTCTCTAGTTCCTGCTCTAGTCCCTCCTCTAGTCCCTCCTCTAGTCCCATCTCTAGTCCTTTCTCAAGTCCTTTCTCAAGTGTCTCCTCTAGTCTCTCCTCTAGTCCCATCTCTAGTCCCATCTCCAGTCCCACCTTTAGTCCCTTCCCTAGTCCCTTCTCAAATCCCAACTCAAGTCCCTACTGAAGTGCCGTTGGAGGTTCCGCTGGGGCTCCTGCCAACTCCATGTTCTGTCCCGTTGGGGGTCCCGCCGACTACTCTCCTGCCGGGGGTCCTGCCAATCCTATGTCCAGTCCTGTTGGAGGTCCCGCCGACTACTCTCCTGCCGGGGGTCCTGCCAACCCTATGTCCTGTCCCGTTGGGGGTCCCGCCGACTACTCTCCTGCCGGGAGTCCTGCCAACCCCTTGTCCTGTACCGTTGGAGGTCCCACCGTCTACTCTCCTGCCGGGGGTCCTGCCAACCCCTTGTCCTGTCCCGTTGGAGGTCCCGCCGTCTACTCTCCTGCCGGGGGTCCTGCCAGCTCCTTGTCCTGTCTCGTTGGAGGCCCCGCCGACTACTCTCCTGCCGGGGGTCCTGCCAACCCTATGTCCTGTCCCGTTGGAGGCCCCGCCATCCTCTGTCTCGCCGGGGGTCCTGCCAATCCCGTGTCCTGGTCCTCTTCCGTGGGGGATCCTGCCGAGGCCTGTCCCACCAGCTCCGGTTCCTGTCCGGCCGACACCGGGTCCTGCCCGGCCTCCGGCGCTGGCCCGTCAGCGCCTTCCTGCCCGGCCTCCGGAGCTCTCTGGTCTTCGCCCTCGAGCCCGGCCCCCTGAGAGCCGCGGTCTTCGCCCTCGATCCCGGCCCTCTGTGAGCCGTGGTCTTCGCCCGCGATCCCGGCCCCCTGACTCTTCCTGCCGCTGCCCTCGTCCTCGAGCCCGGCCCCCTGACTCTTCCTGCCGCTGCCTTCGCCCTCATGCTCAGCCGCCCGAGTCCCCCACCTTAGACTCTGCCTTGCCCCCGGGCCGTCCGCCCGAATCCCCCTTTTTGAACTCTGCCTTGCCCCCGGGCCGTCCGCCCGAGATCCCTTCCTGGTCCTCTGCTGTGCCTCTGGGCGGTCAGCTCAGTCCCGTCCTCCTGACCCCCTCCACCCACCCTGGTGGCCTAGTGATACGTATAGTGTATTTAAGTTCTGGTTTTTCTGTCTGTCTTTGTCGGTTCGTCTTTTGTTGTTGACTGTGTTCACCGGTCAGTGTTCTGTCTGTCCAAGTTCTATTTTCATTATCCTTGAAACAAAGGTATTATCAGTTTAATCTGCATTTGGGTCCTGCTTCCTTCGCTCTACCGTGACAGAAACACAATAATCAGTCTGGAAATGTCCTTATCATACTTAAAGTGTTTTCAAAATGCTACATTTCAGGGGAAAAAACAATAAGCATGGTGATTGATGGCCCATCAGCTCTTTATAAGAGTCCTGTTTAGATTGGCTGCTACCATAAAACAAAGCAGTTTTCTTTATGACCTCAAACCTTTTGAAGAACAGAGTTAACACATTTCACGTTCACGACACCTGCAGTGTAGCTTCCCAGAGCCAGACAACTGGCAGAAAGTTCTAAGGGATTTTAAACACAAGCTATATTTTCCCCCAAATGCCTGTGAGGGTAAATCTGCGTGAAATGTCTTTATAGCTCAAGATATATATTATTGATAAGCGATAAACTAAGTCATTTGACATTTTTAAGTGCAGCTCTTTTAAAGCAACGTATTCCATATTAATAAAGATATATTGAGGATAGACCGTAAAAGAAACAGGAACCATTATCACAGAAGAAAAATAAAAGATTGATTGTATTGAAATTGGACCAGAACTCACAATCAGAGATCAGAACATTGTAGCACTTTAGAACATCAGGGATGTGTTATTCATTCTTTCATGACAGAAAATACAAATCAGTTAATCAAAACGAAGTAAGGCTTCTGATACTGAATGTACTAAATGTTGCCAAACCAATAACACACTCAACTAAACAGAGAGATATTGGCAGTGTGAATTGGCCATGCCAAGCATTCCCTAATATATTGCTTTATTAAAGGATGGCCCTGAAGGACTTAAAAACACTTGCAATGTGTGTTTATACACTTCTTGGAGAGTTGAAACCTTCAGGGTGAGCAGCGAAGGTGAAAGTGATTTATTGATGTGCAGGAGAGGAAATGTTTTCTTCTTTATCTTGGTAACAAAACACAAGATTATACGTCGTTATTTCAAGCGGACAGAAGACCTTAAAAAGTATATTGTTGAGCTTTTCTTTGACATACGTTTTTCTCGATCCTCTAACTAATGCTATGTGAGTTAAGAAGACTTTTTTAATTTTTTATTCTATACTAAATACATATACTGAACAACCCTTTTCTTCCTACAGCACTTTAGATGTATAATGTTATTTAGAAAATTACAAATCCTTTTAATTAAGTCCTACCATTACTGCATGTTAAAAAAAAGAACTTCCGTTTGAAATCAGGACAGCACGGGATCAACTAGTTTTGTATTTAAATGGTTACAAACAAGTAGTTGTAAACTTGTAAATCTATTTCCAAGAGGCATGTGGGCAGTCAGTACCTTTAGCCATGTTGCCTAAAGAAATGTTTAGTTCATGAGACCGTGTGTGTGTTTGGTTCTCCGCCAAAAAAACATAACACCACACCAATAAATAATAGTTGGATACGTGTACTTTATTCATATCTCATATATGTTTCTTTACCTTTATACAAAAATACAGAAAACAGAAGAGTTTTCACCCAGAATACCAACCGGGCAATAATTACATTTTGCTTTTTGGCACCCAGACTAATTTCCTGCCTAAAGCCATTTGATTCCCGCACTGAAGTGGGATGGATTGGATCACTCAAGCCCGAAAGCACTGTTCAGGATGCAGCTCTGCTCACTCTCAGACCACACGACTACCCACACAAGAACAGTATTTAAGGGCAGTCCTTCTCTCAGCTAATGCATGTAATTGCTGTGTTTCTGACTTCCATGCAATAGACATAGGACTATTTGTAGACAGGAAAATGGGAGACCATGTTTTGTTTTTTTCACAGCTTAGACCTGTTGCAGCTCATGATATTCATAGACTATGTAAAAAAAGCAACTTTTGACAGACTATACCTTGTTTGTTAGTATGGTTGTGGCTAGACCAACCTGTGTCTCTGTCAGAATACTGGGGACTGCATGTCATATAAAAGATAATTGTTGAAAAAGCCTCAGGTCTAGACTGCCATACATAAAATGCTTGAATATGGATCAAAAATGCATTTTTGAATAGTTGGATTTGAGATTAAGAAATAAACAGTATTTTACCGCACCACTGATTTTAGTGATTCTTTCTAAAAGTATTGTTTGGAAAGTTATTGTACGAGAACCAATGTGGTGTACTTTTTCTAACACAGAGTTCGATCTAAACTGCCATAGAGAATATGGCACGACAATGCTAATACACTTTCTTCAAAAATGCATTTTTGAATGAATGTCTTGCAGTTCAAAATAACAAACAATAGTCTATCACACCAAATATATCCAGCTATTGATGACGGAAGGTATTGAATTGTATGAACACCAATGTGGTATACTTTTTTTCAAACACAGATTTAATTTTGCACAATATACTCCTCATTCTATAAGACAAATTCCCATCAAATAGTCCCAGAAACAAGCAGAGGTACCCGTTGAACTCTCCTAAAGGTCACAATAGCTCAAATGTAACACAGGGTAGAGAAATGTCACAACCACTGATGTTTATTCTGAGTTTTAACATGCTGCTCTTTCAAAAAAAGCGTTTTCCTTGTTATAACTGGGCACAGGTCAAGCCAACTAAACTGTCATGAGTTTATTTAAAATAGAGAGATTGGTGATTATATCTGTTATTGTGGGGAGAGGTTTTTAATCTGCACTGTAATGATCTCTCCACTTTCTGCTACCACACAGAAACATAGACAGGCTTTGGACATTTACACACAGGGTCAGTGACACTAATCAAACAAGGCACAAAACCAATTGACAATGGTACAATGTAAGACCATAAACATGATAGAAAAACTAGATATGGAAACAGATGTTTGTGTCCGGCCACTTTGTCATAGTAAGTTATTCGCAGAAGGTCACAGCCAGCGTGCCCTGTTCACACTCCTACCACTTTGCTAATTGTCATTAACAATCTTAATCATTTAATCCATCTATTGAGCTACTTTGAGCGAGGCTCTGCGTGGACAAACCATGTTGAGATGATTTCAAACTTGTTGCCTTTAACTCCTCTGATAAGATATGTAAGAGCAGACATGGGAAACATCTCAAACTCCCAACTTATCAGATCTGTCTGAAGGAAAGCAGGCGTGGAGGGGCACATTGATTTAATATTGGAATGCACCTGAGGGCTTAGGCAATTACTATACAGTAGCTAGCAATTAACAACATCATGCCAACTGATTGGATTTGACAACCAGTTGTTTTCTGCTCAGGGAGAAACAAATCGAAAACTCACAAAAGAAAAGTAATACCATTGTGCGACCGTTCAGTATGTGAAGGAGATGACAGTGCACTTCCTTTGACAGTGTATTAAGGCAAAACTGATTTTTAGGCCTTCATGAAATTCCCATGTGCTGATCTTTGTGGATTGTGGAAATAACTAAGGTCTGTACATTTCATAAACAGTGGTATCGCCCTTCAACATTTCATAAGCATTTGAGTCTTGATAAATGCACTAACTAGCTTTGTCAGATTGTCTATAATAGGTTTTATTATGCAAGCACAACACTGATACTGGACAAAGGCAAAGTCAGTAAGAACAGACTAAACCATATGAAAGAACATTCTGAGCTAATGGGTTTGATTTGAGAGTATATTTGGTTGAGTTAAGTGAACAGTTAAGAATTTAACAATGTTATATTATATAGCATTTTTATATTCAGTCGTATTATTTTGTTTGTATTAATTAAAGGCATTGTAGAGCAAGTATTTATTATTCGAGGCCCATCGTTGTCTTGCATGCGTCTATCACTACGTTCTAATTGTATCTTTTAAAAAAAATGAATCTGGAAGTCATCCCTGATACTCATTAGCTTGCAGATGTCAATGGTCTAAATGTAAGTTAGTCAAAGCAGCATATTTTGTACATATGTGTTTTGTTCTCCATGTACACACATAAGCTTAATCACCCAAGTCATATATACCGACAACATCATACGAGGAAATGTAACTTGTTGAAGAATGTGTTGCGTTTACGATGTGTTAGTATATAGATTGTTCTTTAAATGTGACCCATTAGTAGAGGTGCTCGTAACTGATAGCTTGAAACAGTTCAGTTGTATCAACAGCAGCAGCTCAGTGCTGCCACCAATAAATAAATACATCATACATCCCCATGGGTACCAGACAATGTGACTACACCTTGGGAATACACTTTTTAACATGATATTCTTTAGGAAAACCCGGACTAGGACGAATGAGTAGAGCTGTTGAAGATGTGGTTAAGTGTGACCGGAGGTAGTAATTCATGCCTCAGTTCTTAGAGGAGATAACCAGTGTCCGTCTCTCTCTGGTTTGCTGTTTGAAGATGAACTGGTGAGCCTTTAAAACACAGGCAGTCTTTAGCAACTTGCTGACGGGGGGGAACGTTTTCCCCAAAGAGTTCATGATGCAGCAGGTTCTGATGGACGATTCGCAGGAACCCGTGGACCCAGTAGGGGTGTGGTCCAGGGGTTTCTCACTGCCAAAATCTCACTGTCTTTTTCAAAAGCATAGGGTAAATGCAGTCTTACAAGAAAGGCAAGCTTATCCACATGGTAGCAGGCATGGTTCATCCAGAAGAATCTTGTTCATTGCAGGTGTTAACCTGCAAGCGATAATCTGGAGAGTGGTCAAAATCCAGCCTTTTACCTTCGAGAACTATCTATGGAATTCAGCTTTGAGTATTTTTTTCATCACCTTGGACACCACGAGGAGAAGATAATAGAGCCCTGTGGGAAGACACAGGTGGGGAGAGGTTTTAGAGCTCAGTGACAGACATTAAAACAAGAATTTCTGTTTTATTTGTTAGCACTTATTTTACGTGATATGAAGAATCTCACCAATTATGCTGGAGAACATCCAAGAGTAGAAGCGTTACACTATTTCAATGACGTTCAACATGTTTCTGTAATAGGACGGAAAGATCAACATTAGAGAGTAAACTTCACTTCCTATATGGAATCAAATATGTATACATGTTCATTTAATTCATTTCTTGTTTTATAAGCTGCTTCCCTGTATATCATTTCAATGTAATCTTACATTGTATTACACCTGTGTGAATCTGTACTGTCCTGATTTTCGCTGTAATAAAGGTCCATCTTATCTTATCTATATGGCTTTGCGGATATTTATTTTGCTTTCATGGTCAGAAGCTTTCACGAGCCAATCACATTTCGTATGCTTCGTTGTAATGCTTGTGAAGGATTTAAAATAAAAGTTGAGCTTGTCAAGATAACATTTAAAGTAATAAAGATTTGAGTTCTATTTCAAGTATTGAGAAGACTACAAAAAAACGTCAATTATTATTATTTGAACTGCCAAACCTACTTGCAGAGTTAACAGTCAGTAGGTCACATAAAGGGGAATAGTTTCCTTGTGAACTTTTGCACTGTGAATGCGAGTCATAGCGGAAAAACTGCTCACTTTTCCAATATTTCAGCATCTAGTGGAGGTGCAGTAGCTTCTGTTCCTGAGAAGAGTCCAACTTCTCCAGGGTTCTGTTGAAGACCCTCCACGTTCCTCCGTGATCGGACCTGCATCAGGAAATCATGTTTACTACCAACGCTTCAAACTCAGTCCAAGCTGAAAGCAAGTCATATCAACAGTCATCTGCAGGAAGTTAAAAGACTGTGGCAAGCTGTCATAAAACTCAAGCTACAAAACGGTACCTCCGGCCAATAAAATAGGGCATCAACAACAATCCTATCTCTGTAGTGGCTCAGGGAGTGAAGCAGCCTAATAGCTGGGGGTCAAAGGTCAGCTCACCTTCCACACAAGCAGGAATACGAAAGCTAGGAGTGGAATGAAGAGTAAGGATAAAAGGCTTTGCTCCAACACTCCAGGCAGGTCGCCATGCTCTGAGAAAAGAGACAAAACAAAACATCACTTTCAGCTCTTTGGCTCTTCACACAGAGACTTTTTTACAGCTGATATGCCTTGAAGATTAGGGATTTCACCAGAACATTTCAGGTTAAAAATGTTGAAGGAATTTTGGGAATGTTGTAACTTCATTCCTTTGTTACTTTCAGAATCAGAATCAGAATACCTTTATTAGTCCCACAGAGGGGAACTTCGTTACAGCAGGAAGGAGCCACAGGCAGCTTAATGTTACATATGTTAAAAAAAGTACTAAGTTATGATATAATAAAAAATATAGTAAAAAAATGTAAGTAAAAAAAATACTTTTCAAAATACAAATCCTGTAACAGTTCTTAGGATTTAGCAGCCAGGTATATATTACACAGTTATTAATGGCATATGTATATATTGCACATATAGCACATAGTTTGATGGTATTTAACAGCAGCAAGTTACACAATTTACAAAATACAAAAAACACACCTTGTAACGGTGCTAAGGATTTAGCACCTAACTTTTATTGTCTGTCTTTCATATTATTAATTCTGTCTGACGTCAGTTTACAATGGGCTTTTAGAGACCATTACTAACGTTTACTATAAATAACGTTTTTTTAAGCATATCTACTCCTCTCATCTCCATTATTGATACATCTGGTATCTATCTATCTAAGTACAATACTTCCCTTGTCCACTTGATGTGCTCTCAAGGTTTTAAATGTCAACATCACCCTTGTATAAATCTAATTTTGTACCATCATTGGCTTCTAAAATAGTCACAATGCTACATAAGATCAATGTGAAAACAGTGTGTCAAACTCTGCATATGCATCATTCAAACATCAAACATAAATAACAATAAGCAGACATTCAAGTCGTGTCACATGACCATTTAGTTGTAATCTGTGTATGCATGACACAAGAGCAGGCCATAAGCATGCATTATCTAGTTTATCAGTTATTTTCCATTTCACACATTTTTAGCTGAGCCTTTTTGAACAAATGTTACATAAAACATATTGAAAGGGGTTGAGCAAGATGCATAGTAAAAAGCCAGATAAGATATGCGATATAGCCCTGCAGAGAAACATAAATCAAGTGCTATCAGTTTGTGGGAAATGGGCTGACTTGCTAGAGAATGTCGCAATTATTTAAGCTGGCAAAGGTTTCCGCTTTTACACCCCAGCTGGGCTGATTTAGCAAGCCGATCACACACCGGACACTTCTCAGAAATACCGACAGTTGCAAACTTACGTGGTCCGCAGCCTGTTTCACACACTGAGGCTTTACTGCTGGGTGGTGTTGATTCTGGGGAAGAAGATGAGTTAGTTAGTTTGGAGTTATCTCAGGAAGAGACAAGCAAAAATGAGGGAAGGGGCGAAAAAGGGAAAAGGTGAAGAGTTAAGGCCGAATGAAAACCTTTCATTGTCAGGTGCCCAAAAATTAACTCAACAGAGCCTTTTTTTTTACCCCCTCTAGCTCCCTCAAACACACACAAGATATAATCCAACCACTCTGGCAAAGAAAAGCCAATCGCTTGGGAAGATTGGAAGATTGCTCTGTAATCAACACGTACACAATCAGGTTTCGGGCCTTTTCTTCCTTTTCACATGTGCTACCTGGGGACACCTTCCCTCAGTGCTGTGACTCACCCGGGCCTCAATGGGCCGTCTACGCACTGAGACCGTTTTGAGTTTTTATCTTGCAAAGTTCTTGTGAAGAAATAATGGTTCCTGGATTAAAAGCTTCTCAAAACGGCCACAAGAGATCTGTCCTAAATAGAGCCTGTTCACAATTGTTCAAAGAGGGTGGTGGGGGTTTTACAAGCAAAAGTGAACTTGTGACTGGAATGTGAATCTGGAGAACGGCTCAGAAAATGTGTGTGTCAATTGTAAATTGTCAATTGCTGTTCTCTACAATTAAACAATTAAAACCCTGAAAGAGGTGGTAAATCCACGACATAGAAACACAAGTTTACTCACTTATCACTGGCAGTATATGACAGTTTTGAATCAACATGCAATATCCTAGACGAAAAGTGACGAGACGAAAATGTAGTTTACTAAATAAAAACTATGCCAAAATCTCTCTTTACTTTCGTTGACGAAAAATGAGGAGACGAAATATTACCCCCCCCCCCCACTGGCCCTCATCAGGCAATACATATTCTCACTCACTGAACCCAAATTGCTCCCAATGTGCCATTGATTTGCATTTTGCCTTAATTTGGTATCCTGTAGATCAGGGGTGTCAAACTCAAGGCCCGGGGGCCAAATCCGGCCCCGGCCGTGACTTCATTTTCTGTGGCCTCACAAGAGCTTGCAAATAATATGATATGTTTATTATACGGTTACATGCTGATTTACAGAAGCACGTTGCCCATGAACTACATGTCCCACAATGCATCTCAAATTAGACTTTTTTTTCTCAGAATTAGACTTTTTTTCTTCTAAATATGCCTTTTTTCTTATGTGCCCTTTTATCAGAATTTGAATCTGTTTTTTAAATGTCACTTCTTTTTTTCATGTAATTACTTTTTCTTCTTTTGATTTTGACTTTTTTTTCTCCAGAATTTGGCTTTTCTTTTAAAATCATTTTGTGACATTCTCACTGAAGAGACTTGCAAGTATTTGCTCCAGACTTCTGCTTTTGTAGTTAATTATGAAGCTATCCCATAATAATCCAATGCAGAGGCAGTAATGTAATATAATACATTATTTTATATATATATTTATATATGTATTTTTATATGGTCTTAAAGTTACAACCGGCCCTTTGAGTGCAGCCATGATGCTGATGTGGCCCGTGATTAAATTGAGTTTGACACCCCTGTTGTAGATGCTTCAACAACAAATCAATTGTCATAAATGTTAAACCTTCAGTCGTCTTAAACCAATCAATTACTCAACCTAACATTTGAGCACTAAGATACAGTATTATTTTCAACCGTGGCTTTTTTTAGGAGATGATCTGAGCTGACTGATTTCATCCTGTACTCTCAACAATTATCTTAAGGATCTTCATCATCATAACCAATAGATAATCATATAATACTTCACTTTTTTCATGCTTGACTTTTTACAAAACATGTTGTATCTTGCAGCTAGTGGCAAATGGTAAAAAAGCGGATATTTGTTGATAATTGACTAAAACGAATTATGATTATTGATGATTGACTTTATAACCAGATGCAGACCAAGATTTACTGCAAAATACCATCTCAAACACATCAATCAGTCCATATATAATAAATGTTCACCTCTATATGTTTCTGTTGTTGTTACTGGGTATGGTGTTGTGGGACAGGGGGGCGGATCACAGTCATCTGAATCTTCTTTATTCTGTGCAGCTATAAGGAAGTCTTTGACAAAGTCAAAGTATCGCGCGGTCTGCCACCGCTCTTTCCTGTAATGGCACTCAAAATCATACATGATCAGCTCCTGGAAAAACAAAAAGACACACAGTTTAGATTCATGTTTCTCTTGAGGCAGAGCAGTTGGGAGGATACACTGGGCTTTAAAACTTGAATCTATAACATCACATTTATTGAATTAATAATTAAACACTTAAACTATTCTCTATCAGAAACAAGGGTATTTTTTTGTATGTATTGAATGTTTTATTGGACACAATCAGTAGCTAAGTATAAACAACAAAATGCACTCACCACGGACCCCATGTTGAGCCGCAGTTCTTGCAGCATTTGGATGAATATACTAATATCTCTTCTGTTCGATGAAATGTTTCCAAACTTATGTGCTACATCTTGTAAACTATCCTCCAAGTAGTAGACGTTTAATTGTACCCAACACATCCCTGCCTAAAAGAAAAGAGCAGAAAAATGGCATTAAATGAGATGTAGTTAGTATTTTAGTTAACTGAATACTAGTACTGAATTACCAAAAACAACACTACGAAGGTTTTCAATAGATTGTATCCACCAAAGTCTAATAATCCTCCCATTCAGATGTCACTTTCACAGCTAAGACTGCACTTAATACAGGTCAGCCAAAGTTTGGCATGGAGGTGTAGCAGAGGAAATGCTATCCAACAGGTTCTTGCTTGTGAGAGCACGTATGTGAACACGTGTTAAAGAGACGTATCAGTTTGAGTAATGGGACATCGGCTCACTTACAAAGAGTTTATTAGATCTTGGTAATTACACCCCAATATACTATTCCATAAGATTCACTGTTGGAAGAAACCATAATATCTTACCTCTTCTTTTGGAATGTAGTGTACAGGAATTTTGTAATCTTTAGGAATATTTTGTCTCTGTAAATAGAAAAAGTACAAACACATTATTGCATTTTGATCCTACAAAATATCCATGCAGCACATTTAGAAGCAATAACAGCAAACTCACAAAGACCAATATTGTGCATCATGTGGATAACAAATTATTTGCCAATACGTCCAGTTCCTTGTATGTGTTCACATGCTCTAGACAGGTAGATGTTCTGTTTTGGTTGACAAGATGTTTTTTGAGCGAATGCCAGACGAATTGGTGAACTAGGCGGTAGGGTTGGGTGGATTCAAAGGTCCGGCCCAGGCAAGGAAAGAATATAACTTATAACATTATACAGTATATTCTCCCAGACATAGAATGGGTAAAGTAAAGGAATTTGTGATATGATTTCACCATATAATAGTTATTGATTGTATGGTAAAGAGTTGGTCCAGGATATATACAATGAACATTAATAGGCTAAGGTTAGGGTTATGGTTGGGTTCAGGTCCGGCCCTGACCAATTTGCTGCTAGGCAAGATTTTAGCTGGCGCCCCCCCCCCCCCAAATGCAGACACTTACACCTACTATGACTCGCGCGTGCACGGTTGTGGTGTATATTGTGTAATATTGAAGTTAAAAGCATCAATCTGGTGCACTTTGCAACATTAGGAAATATATGGATACATCTCTCAACACCCAGATGAAACAGAACTGTAAGTAGATTTTCTTTTACTTTATGGATATTTTACAAATCACTCCCCTTTCAAACTGTATTCTTGTTTATTAATAACAACTTTTTTGTACTGTCATAAAAAAATAAAATATTTTTTTAATTTCTAACTTTTTTTTTTTCTTTTTTTTCTCCAATTTTCGTCGCCCCCTATGGGTTGATGCGCCCTTAGCATTCGCCTATACTGCCTATGCCGAGGGCCGGCCCTGGTTGGGTTTAACGGCCCGTCCACACTACAGCGTCTGCAGCGTCGAGAGCTTCAATCTGCCCATTCACTTTGAATGGGGTGACGTCACGTTGCCGCTTTTTTTCGCCGAACTGAATTGTGGGTAGCAGAGCGGTCCGTCTCCGGCGTCTCAGGCGCTCTGACGCCGGAGACGCCGGAGTAGCCAGCGCCAGCCAATCAAATCCCATTTCGGAAAATCTGACAGATCAAGCCGTAGCCAATCAAACCGCGTCTAAGCTGGGAGAGATATCCCGCCGTTCATTTCTATATTTCAAAAAAAGATGGAGGAGAAACTAATTATCGCCGTAGCAAATCACCCGGTTTTGTATGACCAGACCCTCTTCACCTACCGGGATACAAACCGGAGGAACCAGGCATGGAGGGAGGTGGCAGAGACAGTGAGTGAAACTGGTAGGTTTTCGCCTGTTTGGGGAGTTTATATATATATTGCTCCCATAAAATCCCCGGGGGTTTTTGCTTTGTATGTCGGGGGCGGGAGATTCATGTGATTGGTTGTTGGTCGTGTTGCTTGAATAACATCCCCAAGCTTCAGACACGCCCAGCTCCAAGCTTTTTTTGGAGCTGTAGTGTGGACGCTCCGGGTTAGGGTTATCGAGAAATGTTTAAATTACAGTATTGTCCTTACCAAAATAGAGAGTCTAGAGATGTCATCTGTCACTGGGTTGACGTCAAACCTAGTTGAATGTACCCCAAGAGTGACGAACAGCAGTAAATGGACACAGACGCGTATCCAAATCTGAAGGTCAAAAGAGACAAACACAAGACGTTTTGGAAATTAGTTACATCTTCTACACATAGTAACAAAAACAACATGATATTTTTGTTAGATCGATAGATAATAGTCAACGTATTGTTACTGGCAGGTTAACTGAGGACAGTTCCTCTGAACCTGACAATGACGCAGTAAATCAAAGTCGCATGATGACAATGCAACTCACTGCTGATATGCTGAAACCATCTATTCTTGTTCAGTGAGTCAGCAATAAACAATACATTCTGATAAAGAGTATTTCACAAGGGCTCACTCCAGTATTGCAAAGAAGACGGCACATTATCAGTTTTGTCTAGATTCCAGGTCATATGTGTTTTACATTACTTTATTTAGTCTCACGTTTTAATAGAAACACTCTAAATGGACCTGATAAACCAATAAGAGGATGCAAGGTAGAGTTTATAATCCAAGCAGCATATTCAAAATATAAAAAAACGTACTATTGGCACAAATGCAGCCCACTGAAAGTTCAGTTTGTTTACATGTTTGTGCCTGTTTTAAGTGAATGGATGCCTCATTCTTGAGGTTGAAACTTTAGACTTCTTGATGCAAAAGTCATCCAATAGAAGTTTTGAATGTACAAGCGAAGAAGACCCAATAAGCCCTTTTCAAAGCAGACATTCTGACATGTGTGACGGTGAGCTAACATGAACAATACAAGAAACCAAAGACGCAAACTAGAGTTCATTTGACTATTTTCACCTCTACCTCTCCTTTGTGTGACATTTTCGAAATGGCTTCTATGGAAAGGCCTTTTTGTTTTGATCAGAAGTGCCCGATGTCTTTCTGGAATTTTGTTTGGTTTGTTTGAATAAAGTAGACCTGTGCTCATTTTTAAGTTAGGTACATCAGTAGGATCATTTCACCACTGATCACATTTGGATACAATGTTGATTATTTAATATTGTAATGATAGCTAGTTCGATATTCCATGCAAACCAATTCCTTTCAGTAATTATAAAATGTGATATTCTTCCATCAGGCAACATTGATTTTGAAGTTAACATCGTGTCTTTTCATACAGATGACAGAAGTGTAGCAGCTTTCAGTGTATTATAACTGATCGGACCAACATTTCCCAACAACAAGTGAGCTGTCTCTAGTTCCTCATTGCACTGCAGGATTAAAACTATTTGGGCTTTGAATGTGTCTTCAGTTGCTGTACTGTACCTGGCTCTCGGCCAATATTAAGGCTGTGAGAAAAAGTAGACTTTGTATAACTGACATTTGATGGTGTTGTAACATACAGGTTATCCAATACTATTCTATATCAAACATATCATCAAGATTAAGATGTCAAGACCTGATAATCATGATTTATTTAATGGCTCAATCTTTTTGATCAACAGGATTGCTCACTGACAGAATATGAAGAGATCTGTCAACGATTGGATGTCTTAGCTAATGTGGTAGGTGTGCGAATGACACATTATTGTCATAGTCAATAAGCAAATTACTATTGATACGAACCGTCATTTCTTTGTCATTATTTGTTATGAAATTCAAGCCTATGCAAGTCAGCACCAAACTGACAGTGGCTGTTGTCGTCGCTTTTTTTGACGATACAGTATTAGCAATCGAGCTAAAAACACTTCAACCAAGACCACAAAAAAACCAACGACACACCATAAACCGAACAGAAAACAGCCTTTAGGTAAATAAGTTCGGTACTTCTGATAAGTTGTTTAATTGTTAAACTTTTAGTTGGTTCATGGTGTGTGTTTGCAATCATTAGAGGGGTTCAGGTGCTACATATTAGAAAAAGACGCAACAGAACTCACTGGTTTATGCGTCTTGCAGGCAGTTTGGTGCACCATATGTCGTCAGGGCCTAATGGAGCTGCATTAGCTTTGGTTTCTGCAACAGTTGCTATTCATTTGGCTAACCTCCTACCAAATCTGACCATATTACGCAACAGAGCCATCATTCTCTATGTTATAGAGATTAGGGCTGGAAAAACTATGCAGCAGCCTTAATGTCAACCTCCCTTTTGGTAAATAAAGCTTAAGTGTTGCACAAAGAGGGATACACATATAATAGCGAGCTGAGCCATGTTTAATCTTCAGGCACTTCAACAAGTATGACAGGATTTTGTTCAGTAGGTTATTTAAGCAAGGTTTGATGACCTGCTCTTTTACAACAGCTTGTTGCCTCTTATTCACAGTTACATTCATACTTTTGCCATCTACACTTTCCCTGCCAGTTTGGCTATTAAGATCGTCAAATCTTCAAGGCAGAGTCCACCGCCCACAGTCCTCCTGTCACTATATATTTGTCATACGGAGCCACAACAGGAAGAGAATGGAACAATGATCCATCAACAGCAGGAAAGGCCGAAGGGAAGCGGCATGTTAAGCACAGATGGGATGCAATTCAATTCAAATCGAATCATCTCTCAATGGCAGACAATGCTTTAGGAGAGATTAGACAAAAACTAATCCTTTACGTTTCAACATCTTCATGTCACATTTGTACAGGATGCAGTAGTGAGCCCCTGACACAACACCAGTGCAAGTAAACATTTAAAAAGTTGTTCAGCAAGTTAAAACTTGACCCCGAGAACACGACCAAATCTTAGATTTCACTTCTTTCTTCATCTTCAATGAAAAGTATGCACATAATGCAAATGTCAGACAAAATACACAACGTTGTGTTTGTCTTCTTCAGAACATTTGTGGTGCTTTGAGCCGACATATGTATCAAAGAACTTCCAGATGTGACCAGTCACGAACAATTTCAAGGCATATCCAAACTCACTAACAGTTTTTGAGTAGTATAATCTACTGCAATTACTCTTGAAATGTTCTCTACGCCAAAGGCACATTTGTGTTTGATACTTGAACTGAATGAATGAGAAACAAGCCTGTTTTACTGTAGCACATGCCTCTGCACAACTGTGCTATATCAAAAATAGATGCAGGAAAAAATAGATGCATGAAAGCCTGAAGGACATAATTAATCCATGTGGTTTCTCCATGTGATCTGACTCAAGTTTTTTTTCAGAAATGTCAGATCCACTTTGCTTCATATGTAAGACTTGTTTACTGTATCTGGTTTCAATGAATGGGAATTTCACTCAACACCTTATCCGGCACTACCCTGTTTCTCGTCTGTGAAGTTTGTTTAAGGAATGTTTCAGTAGGTGTTGGCCACTAATTCCTTAAACAAACATCTGAAAGAAAATTATATGATATTCAGTTTCGAGCGGCTGGATAATCATAACAAAATTATATCACGCCAATTTGGTTTGGACAGATGTGACGACCCCTGCGTCTTCCCTGTAGTGTGAGTATGTTCCTTTGTGATTTTCCCTTTCTTCGCATCAGCCTTGATTGATCGCTGAGGAGTGAAAGGCCCGAGCCAGAGTCTCTCTGTTGGAGGATTCGTTTGGAGAGCAGCTACCTTATTTATGCTTTGGTTTACCTTTATCTTAGTTTGGCATTCAACACCTCGCACCACACCATGTTCACACACCCACACCTACACTACTGATTTTACTGACTAACACACCCCATCGTGGTAGCTCTTTTGGTTAAGTTGAGTTTGTTTTAATAAATATATCCTTATATCGTCTCCTTTCCACGTTATTTGTTATGGCCAAGAGCCAGGGCATGACACAGAATCTAGTGAAGAAAGGTTCCTGTCATCTTGAAACACTGCGGTAAACCAACGAGGAAGAGAGTTGAGAAAACTGCCGCTCACTAAATTTACTTGCTATGACATTAACTTGTTAGTCCCACAACGCTAGCCTTCATATGTCTTCTCTCACTTTGAAGAAAAACGCTCAATGAAACCACATGCATTCTCTTAACAGGAAACCATAGATTATTCACTGAACATGTGTTGAGAGTATGTACATTAGAGGAAAGCCAGTAAAGGGAAACATGCACACTTCATGCTGAGCGCGGAGCAGCTGTGAGTTGCTAGCTGAGCTCATAGTTGCCATTTACTGACATTATTCATTTAAAACGTATGGTCATCCCCGTGGCTTTTTCTTCTGAGGGCAAGTAGGGCCAAGTAAACACAGCAATATACAGAGCAGGATGTGATGTGTGAGTGATGACAGCAATATCGACTGACTTTCCCCGGGTCTTTATGAGACAGATTCACAGCCCATTTAACAAGCCAGCTGAACGCAAGTTCTGACGTTGAGCGGGAGGTTAACATTTCACTGCTTTTGGTGCTGAAAAGTTATGAAACATAAACAGCTTATCATAAAATGTTGTGGGCAGGTGGAGCTTGGGGAATAAAGCTACTCATTAGATTTGATTCTGGTCCGGATTAACCACTTGTTCCTGCCTTTTTACCTTCATGTCCGGTCTCTGCTAGTGCAGCATTGGTGCAGTTCTACAATATTTAATATTGGGTAAATTAAATTAATTATGCTTTTTCAAACATTGTTGAAAAAGGTTTTTGTCGACTAAAGAATACATGTCTAGTGCATTCAGAAAATTACATCACTAATGCAATGCCGCCTTTAAAACCAGGTAACATATTATTATTATTAGGCTATGATGGTTTTGGGTAAGGTGGGTTAAACAAAAATCTAATATGATCATAAATAACGTATTGCGATATCAATTTAATACACATATATCATGGCCCAACCTAGCACTTATACACCAAAGAAGTCCTTAATGTGAAATCCTACTTAGCAATAAACTATATTCTGGTAATGCCAAATTACAAACAGTTTAGTTAATTGTCTGCTCCAGGGCAAAACTGTCCTCGAGTGAAGCATATTCTAGAGGTAGTAAAAGTTAATGGAAAGTCACAAATGAAAGTGAAAAACGCCCGGAGCATAAGGCACTAGAGGCGTAAACCTTGGGTGAAACATGTGCATTCTTGCCAAAGCTTTGTAACTCCCCTTTATGGACTTGCAGAGGAGGAAAGATCGGAGGTAAAGCTGGTACGTTTTGAAATCTGCAGTTATGTCGAACAACCCTAACCCTAAGAGATAGTAT